TTAATGGAGTATTAAAGAAGCCACATCTAACTGTGGCAGGCTTGCCCCCAAGGAAGATCATAGAAAGAGTGCAGTCCCGGTTACAACCCACCGTATAGCAGAGTGGTTTAAAGCAAAGGAGTAGATTCAAGTCCATGCATGTGAGCAACACCCGTGTGTGTTCATGTGTGTCTGAGTGTGTGTGTGTGTGTGTGTATGTGTGTGCACCGAGTATGTTGAACATGTATTTGACTAATGTTTTAACACAGAAGGTCCATGCTGCATGTACAAAGCTTCCTCAGTGTTTCTACTCAGCAGGGTGTGATTTATTGCAATCTTAAAGACTTTCTCCTTTCTTTTTAACTGCCATGTACTATTCCTTGATAAACTGGACACCTCTGTGTTTTCCAAACACTTCATGCTTCTGCCACAATCACCCGCATTGCTGTGGAAACTGAACTGATTGGAGGCAGGAAAAATTATTCTGGGAGAGAGCCTTCTTGCATTCTCAGTGGTTTTAGATCAGAAACTGCATGCACTTGTAAGAATATAAAAATTTTAAATGCAATTACTACCCAAAATGCAAATATATATTTGGCTACAGGGAGAAGCATTATTACAAGACATAGCTGAAATAAGATTTAGTAAAAAGAGTTTAGATCATCTTCTTATTTAGTCCCCAGAGATAAATCTGAAATGCTTAACACCAATAGAACTAACCAAAAACACTTTTCAAAATTACCCCAAGTCAAATATCAAAATTCTTGTAGATAGCTAGATTCTATTGCTCTTCATGCTCTGACTCCCAATACCATCTAAAAGCCACCATTGGGCTTTATTGCCTTGTCTTGCCTTTATTTGCTTTCTCTAATCAATTCTGAGATTATTTTGAAGGTAGAAACCATACCTTATTCATTTATGCATCACCAGATAGTACCTGACACAGTGTAGATAATCAAGAATGGTTCCAGAATGAAGGAAGGAATTTTTCAATGACTTCATCAAAAATGTTTGATCCATATGACAATCTTAGGGAGACATTACATTGTCAGAAAAGTCTGGTGCATTTTTGTATAGAAAATAGTTTACTTTGAGATGAACCAAACCCAGTTTTGAAATGGTTCTGCTATTTCCACTATGTGACTGTGGGAGATGCCCCAATTTCCTATCTGTAAAATGGAGCAATAGGAGCTTTATAGGAGCTTTATAGGAGCATTGAAAGGATTAAATGAAATAGTGCATCCATATGGGTCAGCTTTTGAGGCATAATAACCACCAAAATGTGCTATTTTAAAAACATAAACATTCTTTCTCATGAACCTGAGACCAGCCCATCCAAAGTGGCTGCCTCTGCTGTGGGACAGTTGGTGGGCTGTTGGCTGGGTACCTTGCTGTTCCTCCACAAGACTTTTCTAGCAGACAACCCCAGCTTTAGTTTTATGATGGCCTTGGGCCCAAAGGAAGCAGCAGTGAGCAAACCCAAGCATGCAAGCCCTTTTCAAGCCTCTGCTCCATCACATTTCTATTGCTTATATGCCAGAGCCAGTCACTCAATCCCAGGATCAGTGAAGAAGGCTCAATGTGCAGATGGAGGTTAGGCAATATTGTTGTTTGGTGTACGAGCCACCCCCAGCATCTTGAGTGTTTAGCACAGTATCCGGCACATAAAAATCACTTAACCTGGCTTGGCAACAACAATCATAATACAATTATTCTTCTCATTTTATGGAGAAACATTTCTTTTTTTATTAAATATTTATTTATTTTTCTATTTATTTCTTCTGATTTCCAAGCCTCCAGGTCTGGGACTTGAACCTAGTTGACCATGTGGTAATCCAGCACTTTAACCACCATGCCACCTGCTGGCCCTGGAGAAACACTTTCTATAAATAAAATCATTATCATCATCATCATTAAGTGTAAGAGTAATACTAGTCCTTGAGTAGAAGAAAAATAAGTTTTCTTTGTTTAGTTTTAATAAATAATATAATATTAATTAGAGCACAAGTCCATTGAGTGGTGCAAAGTCCCTAGGACTTCAGGACACTTTTAAATGGACTTGTGCTCTTTCCCACCTGTCTAACTGATACCTTCTGCACACTGTGGTGACCATCCATAGGGGTCACACTGTGAGAGCTTTAATCATTCAACTCTTGCAAGACACAGTCTCAAGTAGCATGTAAAGGTAGAAGAGGTCCAGGAGTCCTAAGAATTTTTTGTCTTGAGTTCTTTACCCAGAAAAGACCTGGCAATGACATCTCTCTCTAGACCTGCCCGGAGACCACCCTGTGCCAAGAAAACAGCCAATACCCAGGAGCTGGGGCATCTATCCTGACTCCTGCCTTCTGTTGGTTGGGGTTTGCATATAGAGCACGAGGTCCCTCCCATCCCCATTCTTCCTGGCTGTGCTTACTCATGGGCCTGCAGACTCTCAGGTCAGACTAGAGCTTAATTTATAAAGACTAGACAGACACCTTCTAAATGGAACTCTCTCTGTGGGAGGCAGGTTGGAAGGGCCACCGCCACTGCCATTGAAACCAGGTGAAGACCACAGAGATCCGATGGGACACTAGAGCATCTTCTACAGAGGGTAAAAGAGAAAGGTTGGAGAAACTGCAGATAGGAGTTGAGTTTCCTGACTCTACTCCCCACTAAGCCCTCGCTACCCTGGCAGGCTGTCACTGCATTTCAGTCAACATTGGAAACAAGCCCAGAAGATGATGGTGATGCCCAGCATGCCAAGGCAGAAGCACATTCAGGTCAATCAGATTACCGGGTACTTGGCAGTTTGACCTCCACAGTATTGTTGATGCAGGTTTTCTTCACATGTTTGCTGAGCCACTTTCCATTTTTAATTTTACAAATCCAAATGTTTTGTTTTCCTCTTTTTCTTTGTACACTGCCTTTAAGAACTGGCTCACATAAAAAACTGGCCATCAGGTTACTCACAGAAGCACGCAGAAATACGTAAAGAACAAAAGCTTAGAATTGTTTTTATTTCTAGTAAGTTGCTGCTTAAGAACGCAGTGTGTTTTTCTTTCCTGCTTTTTATAAACAGCAGGAACGACAATAACAACAAAATGATTATCTGTTGGCATACCTTGCACCAAGAGAGCCCATTAAAAACACTCCGTACTTACATTTCATTATGTTTGGGTAAGACTATTGTAAATACACTAGCCATTGACATAGAAATAATACCCTGTCTGACCATCCTTCACGCGCACAAGGCACTTCACGGTTTGAAGAATTCATTCTGACTACTCACTCTGTTTCAAAGAAGAAATTAAATTGGTTAAATTGGCAAAATCTAATAAATATCTTGGCATTAAAACACTATGTCAAAGGTGGGAGTGCCAGGACATCCCAGACACTTACCTCCTCTTCTCAATGCACATGGGATGAAACGAGTTTTATTTCATAATTAATCACAGCTTAGTCATGTATCACTAAAGTGCCTACAACTTGCTTGAGAGCCAGGAGGAACCAAGCTGGGTGGGAGGGCTCTAAGTGCCTTTTATGATTGTTCTTGGGAATTAGCTGATAAATAATGTATGCAGCATCCCACTGATTCAAGAACACTGGGCTCGATCTTAGAAATTCACTTACAGAATTTTTGTAAACAAGTCTGCAGTGATTTCTAATATATTGCATGCTTTCCTGTGACTTTTATTTAATAAATATGCACATATAGGTAGTCTGATTCAGGCAAATGTGTTTGCATTATTTCTTTTTTTTTTCAATTCGACAAAACTATCTTATTTCAAAGTAGTTTTAACTAAAGGTAGGTGAAAATACATGTTATTTTGGTTGCTCTTGTGATTTGATCTGAAATAAAAATAATGACATTGCCTTGTCTTATGCAAATATGATTTTTAACAAAGTGAAATATACTTGGATTTACAGTATTATGATTTCAACAGTTACATTATACACATGAAATCTCTTGTGATATTGATGGAAAGGAAAAGTACTAAAGAAAAGAGATTTAGAAAGCCGAATGTGAAATTCTGAAATGATGCACAATCTAATAGACAAGAACTCGATAGGCCTGGGTGTGAACAGGGAATAGTGAGTTCTGATTAACATGTCAACAAGATGTCATTCATATATTCCCTGGGCTGCGACTGACAGGCATTTACTGGATTACATCAGAATTCTTCAAATGAGGAGTCAGAGTCAAGCAAGGCATTATTTTAACGCATTTCATGTAAGCGGCATTTTCTAGCCAGCCTTACCCAGAGAATGTAGCATGGAAAGGGCTTTGCGTACAGGACAGAGTAAGAGAACAAAGCTGGTTGTGGAGAAATTACCTCCAATATGTAACCCGACTTTTGGTTTTTGTTTTGTTTTTTGTGGTGGTTGTTTTTTGCATGATGGGGGATAGCATTTTTTGTTAGCAGTCACCTGTTCAAAAGAATCTTATTTGCAAGATATATGCAGATGAGCAAGGAGAGATTATGTGTCATGATATTGCTCATGTTTCAAGATGGGAACCTGAACTACCTACACAGTAACTCCCTCTCCTTAAACTCACAGAAGGGCTTTTAAAAGATCCAAAGGAACTTTTGAAAAAATGTGTTTTATTTTTATTATGTTATTTACTATAATTTTCACTGTGTTTAAAATATTATAATGACAAAGACAAGGACCGGCAGGTGGTGTGGTGGTTAAGTACTGAAGTCCCACGTTGTCGACATCAGTTCTAGCCCCAAACCCAGTGGCTTGAAAATCACACCGGGTGCTTGTGCACAGGTGCCCAAAATCCTGAGCGGAGAAGGGATTGTGGCAAGGCCATCCCCCTGGGGGAATAATTTCTCACTTACCCTATTTCTATCTCTCCCCAGTGAGTGCACGGGCCATATGGCAAAAAAAAAAAAAAAAAAAAAAAAAAAAAAAAAAAAAAAAAAAAAAAAAGAAAAAAAAAAGCTCTTGTCAGATGGGGTATATTTCATACTCCAGCTGGTGACAATCAAGCTCACTCCACTAATATTTGTAATCTACATGGCTTCAAAAGTTGTCTAAATTCCTAACACTAATATAGAAGTTAAAAATTTCAGTTTTATGATCTCTCTTACCTGATGAGTCTCAAGAACAAGAGTCAATGACCGGACTGGGCCAAAGCTCTTAAATAGTCTCTTCAGAGCCCTGAGGTCGCAATTTTTGCTAAATGGCCCAGCATAGACAGTAGACATCTCTGCCCACTTGATTCTCATCTGTAGGAAAAACAACAGAATATAGTAAGGGGGTAGATATGGAAAGAGACTTGAAATCATGAGTCAAAACATGAGATTATTCCACTTCAAGGAATTTCTCGATGTACTTGCCAATGTCCAGGACTTGTATACAGGATGTTCACTGCAGCATTATTTTAAATGGAAACAATTAATGAAGCACAAATACTATTAATAGGTATACCATACAGTGAAATACTATGCAGCCATTAAAAATGAGGGAAATAAAATATGCAGTGACGTAGAGAGATGTACAGGATATACTGTTACATGATAAAGTTGCAACGGTATGCATAGTCTGATTCTTGTTTCTATAAAAATGTAGGTCTTTTTTTAACGTTAACTACATATACAAAAAATTTGGAGAAATATGCAGCAATGCTTTAATAAAACATGCACCTTAATGATGAGAGGTTACAATAAGTCAATAAATAAATCATCCTACCAAATCCATTCACTTACCCTTTTGTTCATCTCCTCAGTAAGGATGGGTGAAAAGGGCTCAAAAGAGAACTGCACGATGCTAAAGGGAAACAGGGGGATTTCCACTCTGGCCTGCTCCAAAACCTGCAGAGAAGAGCACAGCCTACATGAGGTAGGAATGTAGCATAATGCTGTGCTTCTGGAAGGTGAGCCACGGAATATAAACAATGGTTGTCTATCCATATTAAAAAGTAATATGGAGTTGATTTCCAGGCCTGGAAGAAAACGGTGATACCACACAACCAGAAAAACTATTACCTCCCAGGAAAAACAAAAACAAAAACAGAGAATCAAGACAAGAGAAGTAAAATGAAGACATTCCAGTGAGCAAAATGAACCTTTCTTACTTTCAGGTTTCAGTGAAAGTTGACCCTGATCTTGAAGTTTTCAGTGAAAATTGACCCTGATCTTGGATCACTGTGCCATGCCTCCCAAACTCTCTTAGAAACACACCACTGCCCCCAACAATCTCTCTTCATGCAGAAGCACCTATTATTTATCCAATATGTCCATATTCCCAGCAGACTGTTAATCACATCGTTCTCAGTGTCCTGTGTCTAAAACACATGACTCAGATAAACCCTCCCAGTTCATGAGTGTGCTCTGAGAGTTGTGAGTACTTCTACAGACAGGTATCAAATGTAGCTTAGTTTCACATGTGCATGGGTTATTTATAAATATTGACAAGTTAGACCCAAAACAAATTCAAAATTCCCAAGAATAGGATTAAGACATATAGAGTCACCCATAGTCTTGGACAACAATGCAGCGTACCGAGGAACACGTAATGGATGGAAAGACCAAGTCCTTCAACCAACTGGGATTTTTAACGACTTTCTACTGAATAACTTCAGGACTGCAAATGAAATTGGAAGCACAATTGGTGATTAGTTAAACCAGTGTGGCTGAAAGTTGTCCATACAAAAATTGTGAAATGATGCCAAGGAAATTATTCAGATAAACCCTGAAACCATGAAGATTTCCCTTACTGAAAACAGAAAGAATGAAAAGAGATAAAGAGTATATGGAACATAAAAACGTAAAGGGAAAAAATTCAAAGAAAGAACTAAGAAAAGTAGAAAAATAGGATTAATGAATATAAAACCAAAAGTTAATTTTTGGAGCAGAGAAAAAGTAAATTTGATAAGAATAAGAAATAATTGAAAGAAGAAAAATAGTCAATACATATGACAGGATGTATTGATGTACTGGAAAACAAAAAAAACCCCAGAATTGACACATACATAAAATAATTGGTTTTTAAAATGAAAATAGACAAATCATTTCAATAATATAAAAAGAAAGAATACATTCATATACAAACTTACTGATACAAAAAGTGAAACTGATTAAAATAATTCTAAAAAGAATATTTGCTCAAATCTCTGCTAATAAATTTGAGAATGTGAATAGAACATTTTCTATAAATATGAAAAGTACTATACTGCAAATTGACTCAACAAAAGATAGAATTCTTAAATAGTCCCAAAACCAAAAAAGAAATTGAAAAAGTTGTCAAAGATCTACTTCTCAATAAAGTTCCAGACAATTTCATGCATGAATTCATTCAAACCTTTAAGAAACTGATAATTCATGAGCTTTTTAAATTAACCTAAGCATAAAGTTAGAATTAATGCTTTTTTACAAAACCACTTTAACACAAATACCTAAGCTTGACAAGAATAGAACCAAAAACAGAACCTATTAGCCAAACCCCTGAGTACTGATTTAAAAAAAATCACAAAGCATTGGCAAATAAAATTCATCTTACATTTTAAAAATAATATGTTGAATTGAATGGGTTTGAGTTCAGATATCCAAAAAGAATCCAATATTATTAAAATATCATTTCAAGTCAGCATATAAAAAAGTAGAAAAGAAAGTAATAAAACTATATTATTATACTGATAAAAGCCAAAAACTTATCTGATAGAATTCAGTATCCAATTTCATATTTCTTAACATATAAAGATGTTATATTTCATTTATTATAAGCAGATATAGCTAAAAAAAGTGTAATGTGACACATAAAAATAACATTCTCAATTACTATACAAATAAATCATAATGATTTAACTAAGATCCTTCGATTTTGACAGGGTCACTTCCACCTGGAGAAAAAACAATGGCCTGAATAAGAAAGTGTGAACTCCAAAATTCTGTGAACACAGTTACAAATAGGATTCTGCTAGGTATTAGGTAGGCAGTCATGACCAGTATTAGAGTCTGCCCAAATCTCAGGGTTTTATAAGAGAAAAATTAGGGCAGGGCCAGCACATGGCCGCAGCTACATCATTGGACTCCCACATGGCCGACCATGGTTCCAGTCCCAACCCGGTGGCTTGAAACTCACATGGGACACATGTATGTGTGTGCCTAAAATCCCAGGAGTAGAATGGAGAAGAGGATGCAGGGTGACCAACCCCTGTAGGGGCTGATTTCTTGCTTTCCGTCTCACTCTCTCTCTCTCTCTCTCTCTCTCTCTCTCTCTCTCTCTCTGGTGAGCACACATAGCTTAAGGCAAAAACCTATACTAAAAATAAAAGTAGGGCAATAAAACACTTTGCTAGGTCATTGTGAAGATTATAAACAACAAATGCAGAGCTCTGATAACTAGTAGGTGCCCAATAAAAACTGACTTCCATATCCTTCTTGCTCTTGGGGTATACAAACCTGAACAACTTGAACCTGAAACTTGGTTTATTAAAGAAGTATTTTCTTTAGAGGTCTTTACCTCCTCCACATCTTTTAAAGGGAAAACAGAGTAGGTGAAAAATAGTTTTTCATTTTAAGATAATTTGTGCTTATTTAGGAAAACGGGAGAAAACGAAAATACACAATAGAGAATTAAAATTTCTCCTCACTCTCCCTCATTGGCATTATCACATTTTGACATGTAAACTATGCTTGGGATCATTCTTGAAACTGGACCTTTTAAACACGTTTTCAAAACAAGAGTTTTAAAGTCTTCAATAGAAACGTAATTTGAAAACTTCATTTCACACCTAATGTATACATACATACATCCGACAACACCCAAACTGGCTGTGTCTTTGATCTGCTCCGAAGTCATGTAGTACATACTACAGTCTGTCACTATCTATGAACCTGGGTCATTGGTCAAATGTGCATTGGCTTCATATGTTTGTAAAAATTATTGATTCATGATGTTTACAGTCATGTCCATTCCCACCATGTTCACAAGCAAATCAGTGGGAAGAGGATGTCTCTTAGTGGTAACTCAAATAGAACCATTTTTCCTTTTTTTTTTCTTGAGAAGTTTTTGCCTTACGATGCATGTGCTTGCCAAGGAGAGAGAGAGAGAGAGAGAGAGAGAGAGAGAGAGAGAGAGAGGAGCCAGACACAGTGAGAGGAAATGTGAGAAATCACCCCCCAAGAGAGATGACCACACCATGATCCCTTCTCCTCTATTCTCCTCCTGGGATCTCGGGCATGCATACACACACGTCCAGCATGATTTTCAAGCCACTGGTTCAGGAACTTGAACCACATTCAACCATATGGGAGATTTACAAGATAACCACTACACCATCTGCTGGTCCCAAACCATTTTCAAATAAAGACCACAAATGTTCATGGATGGTCCAGAATCCTGTCAGGTGCCATGGAGAAGAGCTTCATTATTGGTCCATGTAACAGAAAGTGAAGGGAAAGTTAGATCATTTTCCACTTAATTTGATCAGGAAGGACAGGTCAGCTGTACATTTGAGATTTCTCAGTGGCAAACAACACAAACGAATCATTGTCTGACCTTGAACCTTGAATTACCTATCTGAACTTGTCTACATTACCAAGATTAACCATGTAACTGCCAATATTCCGATCTCCATTGGGCGATGAAGACCTCAACACACTGATAAGACCTCAAAGATGTTGCCTATTTGAGCTTTTAATATTGTCTATGGTTGAAGTTGGCCACAATTAAATACAAAGTTATTGTCTAAAAAGCCCATTATTGTTCTAGTTGAGCTGCCTAATTTCCTTCCATTAATATGTTCTTAAAGCTGTTGCAAACTACTTTTTTCAAGCTAATTTAGGAAACACATTTTACAAGAGCAGGTAATTTTAAAAGCATCATTCTAATGTTGGTCTTTCATTATTTCTCTAATAAACAACATAATTGGTAGTGACTGAGGCCACCTACAGATCAATCTTTAGACAACTCGTGGATATTCAAGGTATAAAACTTCTCCCTGATTCCAATCTCATTATCTTATAGGAAAATGTTCAGAAAGATAAGAATTGTAAGCTTTTTTCTCCCCTTGCTCTTGTCCTTCTTTTCCCCCAAGAAAAACACATCATTTATCAGGCCACGTCCTGGAGAATCAGACATAATTGCAGCCACCTTATAAAATAAAGAGAGGAATCTGTCACATCCTATTTTTATCAACTTTATTTTGAAAGCTTTCGATGTGTAGCTTCTTTTATTAAGTGACTTAATGCATATGTGCTCTGCAAGAGGAGAATAAGACATGTCTATGCTGCCCGCTATATCTAGGGGTGTCATTTGGAAGATCAACCTCAATTAAATCTAATTACATTCCCCTTCAACTAGAGAAGCATGAAAAGGGCCCATAAACTTTATTTTAATTGTAAGTCAATTACATTGTCAAAGCACAGAAAAAATATTAAATGGGTTTGACAGAGGCATCCTACATGCATCGTGCGCTCTCATGCAAAGAGCTACTAACAGGGGATTATTTTTTCAATCCATATTCAAACGTGATCCAAAATATTGTCCCCAGGTCTGAAGTGATGCCACTTGTCCCAGTGGGAACACAACCTAATGTTAAAAGACATCATTGTTCAATGGGAATGAAGGATAAAATTTGTGCATCCCAGGGGCCAAGGAAAAAGGAGGGGGCCAGCATTTGCTGGTGGTTAAGGCACTAAACTTCAACATGGCTGACCTTGGTTCGAGCCCTGGACCCCCATGGCTTGAAAATCATGCCAGGCACTTGTATATGCATGCCCAAAATCTCAGGAGGAGAATGGAGGAGAAGGGATTGTGGTGTGGCCAGCCCACTTGGGGGGACTTTCTCACTTTCCCTCTCACCATTGCTCTCTTCTCCAGTGAGTGCACATGCTCTATGGCAAAAAGAAAAAAGGAGTTCTCTGAAACTCAGATGATGACCAGCGTACTCTGTAATTGCCATCAAAAGAAACAAAAGTCATGATTTTGATGTGCATCCTTTGATTTTTTCCATTGGTTTACAGAAACTAACCCCCATAATAATCCTGGGGGAACATGATATTATGAATGGCCTTACCCGAGTCATAGAACACTTCTTGCAACTCAGAGTGGAGTTTGCTCCTTCCAAAGTAGTAGGCCACAAGTCAGGAGAATGCCCTTAGACTATGACACACAATAGAACAGAAGCGAATGGATGTGGGTGGCCCAAACAATTTCCACTATCACACGTATTTTTTGTTCCTTTGATTAGGGGCCAGCAGGTAGCCTGATGGTTAAGGGCACTGAACTCCCATGTGGCCGACTTCAGTTCGAGTCCTGGACCTGGCGGCTTACTTTCTCACTTTCCCACTCTTTCTATCACTCTGTCCTTCTCTGGTTAAATTAAAACAAATAAATAATAAATAATCACTCTGTCCTTCTCTGGTTAAATTAAAACAAATAAATAATAAATAAAATTAAGTTAAATAAAATAATTCTTTTAAAAATTGTTCCTTTGGTTGAACACACTGGTGGAGATTTCAGTTCCTGGACTACATTATCTGCCCTTTCTCTACTGTACTTTGTTGTAACTAGTCTATTTCACGAGATTAAATACAACTGCCTTCTAGAAATAGCCCTCATGTTTTCTGTGAAGGCATGATTGTGGGCATTTTTGGTGTATTCCACACTTTCCCTTTATTTATTTATTTATTGATTGATTGAGAGATTTCTGCTATAGGGCGTGACTATTTGCCAGAGAGATAGAGAGACAGAAAGCAAGAAATCACCCCCCAGGAGGGATGGCTACGCCGCAATCTCTTCTTCTCCATTCTCCTCTCGGGATTTGGGGCACGTATGTACATGTTTCTGGCATGAGTTTTAAGTTGCCAGGTCCAGGACTCAAACTGCGGTTGACTACCCAGGAGTCCAGTGATGTAACTACTACACCATATGCTGGTCCCTCCCTTTATTTTTTGAGAATTCATATGAGAAATTTTTAACTGCTCTTAGCATCAAGAACAGTTATACCTTCTCTGAAAAATATGCTCAGTTTTATTTTCTAAGTCCCGGGACTTGTATAGCTAATAATATTTCCCTAATATTTTTTTACGTTTGACTCCAAAAACTATAGGACCTTTAGCAAGTAAGTATACTGGAAACTGACATATGCTTTTATAAAAAAATATATTATTATTATATAGCTGTATCTTTTCTTCATTCTAATCTTGTAATTTGAATTAGTTTAGTTCATTTTGTCTTTTCTTATGAGATTCAAAAATATTTTCTGGAACTAAAATACCGGGAATAACAAACTTGGGAGCTTACATGAGAGGAAAACCTTCAAGGAATTCATGGAAAATGTATATTTAAAAAAGTTATGCATGGGTTTCAAAAATATTTGCTCCAAAACAACTTGTACTTGGATTCTGTTGTTTGTTTATTTTGTTTTTGCTTTTGCCAGAGGGAATGTGTAATCACTGAAGAGAGACAGAGAGAAGGAAAATGAGAAATGGCTCCCTGGGGGGATGGCCACTCTGCAGTCTCTTCTCCTCCATTCTCCTCTCAGGAGTTTGGGGACACACGCACACATGCCCGGCGTGAGTTTCAAGCCACTGGGTCTGGGACTCGAACTACTGTCAACCATGTGGGAGTCCAGCACCTTAACTACCATGCCACCTGCTAGCCCCCGAACTTGCATTTTAATTCCATCCTTTTCCACCAAGTTTTTGAAATACTCCATAGGAGGTAAGCAAACAAGGGAAATGGATAAAGTCGCCCACGTGGAGTGACACAGGCCTGTGAACTTCTGCCGAAGGAACAGCCCTTCCTCGGGTCCAGCCAGGTAGTGTCACGGAGAGAAGTGAGGCCAGTGCAGCCTCGTCTTTAGAGAGAAGCCAGAATTCCATCCTCACCCCACTTCAGGACTTCAAAGACCTGGACACAGATGGATAATGCAAACATAGATCATTTTCCTTAAGTCAAAGATACTATTCTTTATTTTCTCTTTAGTTAAAGCATAACGAATTAGAAATGTTCTATTTACTAGAGTAGAAAAGGAACTGATGGAAAGCAGAGCAGTTGGTTCATGCAGGCAGTGCGGAGTTTGCAGTACCCACTGGGAACTCGCTCAGGAGCCCAGGGCTGGGGTCCGAGCAGGGATTGGCCACAGGAAAGGCAAGGCCAGTTTCACCACCTTTAAACATTTACCGACCTACTACTGCTCACTGCAGTTGCCATCACCCCACACTCGGATTCCTGGAGGCGGTCTCCCCCTCGGAAATGAATCCAAATTCACGCTGCCTCTCTGCAGAGAATTCATCAGGATAAGCGTAGCTGCATGTTCGAGGCAGAGCCGCCAGAACCGCTGAGAACATGTATCTGGGCTTTCATCATCCATTGTAGGAGGATTTTCTAAACCCAGGAAAGGATTCGCATGCTCAGTATGCAGAAGCCACGTATATACCCTGAGAGCAATACCCAACAGTTTCTTAAATGCCAAAAAAAAAAAAAAAAAGGAAAGAAAAGAAAACCCTTATTTTATGTTAAGCAATAGTTTTTCTTCCAAAACACTCAATTTATGATGCTTTTAATAAAGAGGAAAATAGATCATTTTTATCTTTGGGATTACTAGTTATTATCCATTAGTGTTAAGATTCTATCTTTGAAAGTTATACCAGTTATAAAAGAATAACACTCCTCTTGTTTGGGCTATTAAACAAAAATTTAATAATGTCTCTGCAGGAGATTAAAAACACCTAGATGACTAAGCAAAACCTTTACAGCTACCGTTCTCTTGAAGGGAACCCACCCTAAACCCTTAGTGACAGAGTCCAGGTGATAACAAAAACTGGAAACTCAACCTAATTAAGTTAGAGTCC